ACCAGGTACAGAAACCAGGTACAGAAACCAGGTACAAAGACCAGGTACAGAAACCAGGTACAGAAACCAGGTACAGAAACCAGGTTGTTGTACAGAAAGCAGGTGTGGTGTGGAAACCAGGTTACAGAAACCAGGTTGTGGTGTTGGTAAATTACATGGAATACATGTTGCTTTAGGGGTAAAATCAACTTACAATTTATGGACGGTAGTATGCGATCTAAAGTAGGAGGAAAACTCAACTGTCTAATTGAATGCGCAACTCAATTTCTTCGCTAGAGTTTGGTATTGATATGTGCACCTAAAAGAATAGGGCCGAAAAAAAGGATATCTGCACCTGCAGGAGTAAGATTATGAGGACCATCAGACACCGGGTAGGCTATCTTCAACAAAAACCAGGTACCAAAAAATAAAAAAATAAAAAAATCCAGGTTTCTGTATGGTTTCTACTACCATTTTCACCCAAACCGAACACACAGTCACTATAGCTGTATTTGAGGCAACATTCAATCTATATACTGTGATAATGACCGTGCGGCATTGTATTCTAAGGAAGCTGGTAGCTAATGGACCATAGAAACCATCGACTAGCTAGTGGATTATGGCAACCTGGTTTCTACAGTCCACTAGCTGCACTGGCACCTGCTCAAGAGAAGACTGCGGTTGTTGCACCTGGCTTAAATCACCAGTACACTCGGGCCTGGAGGCGCTCCACTGTGCACCGAGCTTTGCCGAACCACCAGCGGCGCACTTTTTTCCTTTTTTGGCTGGCGCCACAAGCCATTGTGGCGCAGAAGGCCCGAGACACAAAATTTTCGGAGTAGGCGATGAAACTTTTTCAGCAAGGCTGGGGCCCTTGTACTGGCGGTTAAGCGGTCCTCGGTAGTAGAGCAGGTGCCAGTGCAAGGTTTCACCTTTCTGTTTACCATGGAGGAGGAGAGGGAGGGGGAACCAGTCTTTTGTCTTTATTATTCTTTTTTTCCCTGTTTTTGACCACTGATCGCTGCAAGTGGACATCGTGCAAGTTCATAGTTTTCAAAAGTTGTCATTTTGCTGAAAGTCCAAGCATCAGAGCAGTTGTTGACCCACCAGTTCGTTCTCCTGAGCCACCCTTCCACCCACTTGGAGTCTCCGTTTCCAGCCCTAGACTACCAAAATCGATGGCCAGAAACGACGAACACAGGTATGTGGGACCGTCAGTGGGACTGTAAGAGAGACCATAAGTGGGACCATAAGTGGGACCATAAGTGGGACCATAAGTGGGACCATAAGTGGGACCATAAGTGGGACCATAAGTGGGACCATAAGTGGGACCAAAGTCGGACTGAAGTGGGACCGTAAGTGGGACCATAAGTGGGACTGTAAGTGGGACCATAAGTGGGACTGTAAGTGGGACCATAAGTGGGACCGTAAGTGGGACCGTAAGTGGGACCATAAGTGGGACCGTAAGTGGTCCATGTGGGTGAATGGTACGGCCATGAACTGTTTGATAAACAGACGTAAGTTCCAATCCCGATGGACTCAGATGATTAAAATTTTGTTACTCTGAATTACCTGGGTTGGTCCGTTGGATGATGATACTTCAAAACCTCGCCCTTTGAAAAAAAGGGAGAGGAAAAAAAGGACTGTAAGTGGGACTGCAAATGGGACTGGAAGTGGCGACTGTTAGAGGGGCTGCGGCCCCCTGCTGTGCCTGGTTCACAGTACTTTATTTAGACGCTCATCAGAGTCATCAGTGTGTGTGGACTATGCTCATCACTGTGCATACTGGCAACCGCCAGTACACAGGTCCAGCCTTGCAAGATTTCTTCATTGCCTACACCTAAAATTTCTGAGGCTCGGGGTTACCGCACCACAATGGAAAATAGCACTGCCAGCCAAAAAAGAAAAGAAGTGCACCGCTGACGGTATGGCAAACCTTGGCTAGCAGTGCGGTGCTGCCAGGCCCAGGTGTACTGGTGGTCTAAAAACCCTGTCTTGAAAAGTGTTCGTGATGCTTGCCAGTGATAAGCAACGGGACTGACGCCCCCCAGAATAGATGAGGCATGTGTGTGTGGGCGTAAAAAAAAAAAAAAAAAAAAAAAAAAAAGAAGAAGAAGAAGTTAACAGACAGATTTTAAGCTTCCTTTGCTATAGCTGGATAGTGTGCAGTCTTTAACCCTAAACCCTATAGCCCCCTATAGTTAGTAACTGGCCTTTGAAACGTGGAGCTGGGTTCCTTGCTGGTTGGGTTGCCGTGCCCCTTGCAGGTCCGGAAGGTGGGTAAACCAGTTTTGAGTACGAAGCCCGAGGTTGGTAGTGTGAGATGTAAGAGAGAGAGGGAAAGAAGAAGAAGAAGAAGAAGAAGAAGAAAGAGGTTAAAAGCTGGCACAGCACCATAGGCTGGCTGCCAAGTTGTGCCAACTGAACAGCGAGGTATAGACATACGCTTTGCAGGTCAAGGTAGAAGCAAAACAGTGAATAGCTGGAGAGAGTGCAAAGAACATGCGTCTACGGTGGCCCGTTCTTGTTAAGAATCTTAACTAAACTAATAAACCGATGATAATAATAAATGAATAATCCAATGATTAGTTGATTTTACTTGATAGGCAAAATACCATTCATAAGCTTTTGTCTCAGTGTCCGTCAATTTTATTGGCGATTTGAATCTAGTTTCGTTGTTACGCCTTCCTGGCAGCCTCAAAAAAGTAGCGGGGGGAGGGAGGAGGGGGTTATATATAGTTCAGAAATGAAAAACTTCAAAAACTTGAAAAAAGGAAAAAAACTTCAAAAAAAAAAAGAACTTTACTCAGCCTAACACTTCTAACACCCAAATAACATTTATGAGTGGGTGCTTCGAGACACTGCATGTAGAAAAAAAAGATGTGCCTGCACATAGAAAAAAAGTGTCTGCAGTCTCCACACATAGAAAAGAAGTGTCCGTGCACAGAAATTCAGAGGGTCTGCAGATGGGAAAGAAGTGTCTGCAGTACCAACAGGCCTCTTTCTTTCGCTAGTTGGCTCCGGCCAATAGCGTCAGATGGGTTAGTTGGACGCGAGGGTGGATCTTGGGTCGTTGGCAATGTTGGCGGTTTATGCGCTTAATGATTTTCAATCATTTCTCGATTTACTTGCGTCGTTTTCGCGTCTCAAGTTTTGCTTGCGTCGTGTACTACTTCACAAGTTGGTCATGTATGCGTTTGTCAAACGTATCTTTGCTGTACTATCTGTTCATAATTCCTGACTCAGTTGATACACCAATGAACTGTTGTAACACGGACCTGAGTTCACATTCCGATGGAATCAGATGAGTAAAAAAACAACTCTGCATTTACCTGTATAGAAATTTAGAGGGTCTGCAGATGGGAAAGAAGTCTCTGGAGTACCGACAGGCCTGACTCAGTAGTATGGATTCCGTACGTCTGGGCCTAAGTCCTCCTCCGTGCAAGCACAGATTCGAACCGGCGACCTCGGCCTCAAGAGCCAAGTCTCGTAACCACTACAGCCAGGACACGGTGTTCAAAAGTGGAATCGCACCGGTCGTGATATCCACCCCACCCCTGCAAGGCTGTACTGTCCAACTCAACACACACCACACACAACTCCCATGAACAGGGCAATTCTCGTACACTTCGCTCTGTAGTCAACACGTAACCCCCGCTGGTACTCTTACCCGCTCACACAGACGGGACTTATCAATGCCCGCGGTCAGGCCTGACTCAGTTGGTACACCAATGAACTGTCATAACACAGACCTGAGTTCACATTTCGATGGAATCAGATGAGTAAAAACAACTCTGCATTTACCTGTCCTGCGGGACATCCGTCGAAATTGGAACCGTACAAGGATGACACGCACAAATCGAGAAATTGAAAAAAAAAAAAAAAAAAAAAAAAAAANAAAAAAACTCTGAATTTACCTGGAGTCGGTCAGTTCAACTATCAATCTTAAGGCCGTCGCCCTTCAAAAAATGGGGCATTAACCAAAAAAAAAAAAAAAAAAGGAAAGGAGAGGAAAGGAAAGGAAAAAGGAGGTCTCCCCAGAATGGCAGGAGCCAGAATCGAGAGGTTCTGTTTAAAAATAAAATCAAAAAAAAAAAAGAAAGGAAGGGAAAAGGAGGGGAAAAGAAAGAACTGTCTGCGGATGGGGAAGGAGTGTCTGCAGACTCTGACATAGAAAACAAGTGTTTGCACATAGAAAAGGAGTGTCTGGACATAAAAAAAGAGTGTCTGCAGATGGAAAAGAACTGTCTACAGACTCTGGACAAAGAGAAGAAAGTGTCTGCAGACTCTGCACATAGAAAAGGACTGTCTGCACATAGAAAAGGACTGTCTGCACATAGAAAAGGACTGTCTGCACATAGAAAAGGACTGTCTGCACACAGAAAAAGAGTGTCTGCAGATGGAAAAGAAGTTACTGTCTTGCCTTTTTTGCTGCATCAACTAACTCCATGCCGCTGGGTCGAGTATCTCTCCCCACAAGAATACGACCACCAGTGTCGCCAAGCGATATCCCCTCTCTATCTGCAATCTCTCCAACCAACTGGAGCAGAAACGACCCAACGGGGAAAAAGAGAAGAAAAAGAGAAGAAAAAGAAAGGAAAGCAAAGAAAGAGAAAAGGGACAAAGTCACAAAACCAAAAGGACAAATCAGCAGCAGAAAAGTCACACACACACACACACACACACACACACACACACACAGGGTTGGCGGGAGCGATCACTTTCTCAGGGGTATCACTAACTCTGGGCAACGTGGCGAGTCCTCCTTATTCATCAGTGAAATGCATACTTGGCAGACGTCAGGGTTCATCCTTCCGACGAGTCTGTGAAAGTCAGACGAAAAACTCTGGCAGAGTCATGTTTTTTTTTCTTTCTGTGGAGTTGTATATAGCGAACATGACAACTCTCGCCAAGTGCTAGTGGTGGCTGCTCTTACCAGCACCACTAACATCAGAGGGGGCCGTTTAAAAAAAAAAAAAAAAGACAACTCTCTCTCTCTCTCTCTCTCTCTCTCTCTCTCCTGTCTTTTATACAAATCTAGATGTGTATAAGAGACAGCACACACACACACACACACACACACACACACACACACACACACACACACAGAGACACAGAGAGAGGAAGAAAGGAGTGCAAGAACAGTACCGGTAGCGATCGTCGTACCTCACAGAGTGCAAGCGAAGATTGCGCATTGACAAGGCGGTCGGCGTACTCCTCCCACTCCATGCAAAGCATACCCCCGCTCGGATCCGCCAACTTAACTCCATTATCCTTTATCGGATTATGAGATGCAGTGACAACCAATCCAGTGGCGCTCCTGGTCTTGGCAGACCGAAGAGCTGCCAAAACCGCAGTTCGAAATACCACCGATGGAAGTAAATGCGCCTCGGCTCGGAAGCCTGCTGTACCGTAAAAGAACTGTGACCCTGAATAGAACGCACAAAAAAAAAAAAAAAAAAAAAACAGAGAAAGCAAAGGAATGAATATCAAGACATTGTGTTCTCTTTTTCTTTTTTTCCGAAGAAAGAGAAAGACAATTCAGGACCACTTGAGGATCATGACATCAACCTTCCATCACCATAATCATCGTCACTACATCATTAGTCATATCACCATCGCCATCATAACTATAGCCATCATCATCATCATTATCACCATCACCATCGCCATCATCATCATCATTATCACCATCACCATCGCCATCATCATCATCATCATCATCATCATCATCATCATCATCAACAACAGCAGCAGAAGCATAATAATCAGCATCATCATCAACAGCTGCAGCAGCACAGCATTATAATCAGCATCATCAGCTTCATCAGCATCATACAATAGCCATCATCATCATCATCATCATCATCATCATCATCACCACCACCATCATCATCATGATCAACGGCACGGGCTACCTCATGATGATATGCGCCCTGTGCAGGCGCGTTCGATGCTGCGTTAAAATGTGTCAGAGGGATGACTGGCGGCCGGCAGGGCAACTCCTTTGTCAAAAATGGGGTTGGAGATGGTGGTGATGATAACGATGCTGACGAAGACAATGATGAAACTGATGAAGACGATGATGATGGTAGTGGAATTCAGTTTGTTTCGGTTTGGTACCTGCCGATTGCTGGTCTGGACTTCATCAAGACGGACTTCTTTTCATTTCCCCATTGTTAGGTACAACTCAGCCTCTTGCCTGAGAAGGTCGAGTATTTGATCAGTATGATCTGACCCGTGGTCCATCGGACTATTTAAAATTTAAAATTTGAAATTTTAATTTAAAAAAAAAAAAAGCAAGGGGCGAAATGGCAAGAGAGAGAGAAAGAGAGGGGCACCAACAAGCACAACCATGCTCATTATGACAATAATGATGATGCTGAGCGTCATTGGATGTTGATAAAGAGCACAAGTGAATGATGATCATAAAAATGACTAAATACAGATGGTGATCATCATGACGTGCTGATGATCACGAGACCGCCATTCCCCTATCTATCTCGGGATCATTAGCACGTCATTACGACCATCACTCATGAAACCATCATCCCCTCCTCATCAAGAAGTACTGATGACGTGAATGAACCCACTCACGGGAATACATTCTTTCATTCATTCAATTCATTCATTCAATTCATTCAATTCATTCATTCATTCAATTCATTCATTCAATTCATTCATTCATTCAATCATTCATTCATTCAATCCATTCATTCAATTCATCATTCATTCATTTATTTATTCATTCATTTGAGCGGGGGAGACTTCAGGGAATACTCGTTCCTATAGTTCAGCAAGCCTTTAACATGTAAGCCAACGAGACGATCATTCGTGATTGCCGTCGTGAGCAGATGGAAGTGCATGGAACCACCAGTGCAACCATCGCCGTCCTTAAGAAAAGTCGATAAATTATCCGAAAGAAAATGATAGGACTATAAAATCAACTATGAACTTTATGGAAAATGGAGTGACATCAAACGCACAAATCCACAATTTATCCCCAAAAAAAAAAACGGAAAAAAAAACGGAAAAAAAAAGGGGAAAAAAAAACGGAAAAAAAAAACGGAAAAAAAAACGGAAAAAAAAAAACGGAAAAAAAAAAACGGAAAAAAGAAAACGGAAAAAAGA